ATTCAAGCCCAAGTCTCCGGCCTTAACCAAACCATTGCCAGTCTACCAAATTCTGTCATTTCTCCATTCGAGCGCCTTCCAGACCCGGACTGCAATTGGAAACGGCAGCGTACGTCCTTCCGCAGTTGGCCGGGAGTCTGCCTTCGTACCCCGTCCCACAAGACTTTCTGCAGGGGCTCCCTGACATACCTCTTGCGGACCCCAAGTTCTTTGAGAGCTCCCAAATCGATGTCTTGATAGGAGCCGACATTCTTCCGTCAATACTCCTAGGCAACTCCAAGGCCAATATTTGTGGTTCTCTTTTCGGCCAGGAAACCATTTTTGGATGGGTGCTGACAGGTCCCATATTTCCGAGTGCCTCCCGAAATGTGTCCGCCTTCTCTACACGAGTCACCTGCGGCTCCGACGACCCGCTGGACCAGCTCCTCACCAAATTTTGGGAAGTAGAGGAAGTGCCCTCACAGATCGTCTCCGAGTCTGATTCTGTCTGTGAACGCAATTTTGTCCGAACTACACGCAGGGACAGTTGTGGCAAGTACGTTGTGACGCTCTCCTTGCGCGACCCTGAGCATGGTGGTTCCGAGCTCTCATCTTCAAGATCCTTCGCTCTGGCTCAGGTTCTGCGTAACGAACAGCGCCTAAAAAGGGATCCCCCCCTCAAGGCCCGATACGACTCGGTAATCCAAGAATACCTCGACTTGGGCCACATGGCCGAAGTTTCTCCGAAGAGCCGTTCCGCTACTTACTACCTTCCGCATCATGCAGTTCTCAAGCCCGAATGCACGACCACTAAGGTGCGGGTGGTTTTCAACGCCTCTAGCCCGTCCGCAAACGGGACAAGCCTTAACGACATTCTCTACGCGGGCCCGGTCTTACAGGCCGACCTCACAATACAAATCCTAAAATGGCGATACTTTAGGTTCGTTTTCAATGCCGACATCGAGAAGATGTATCGACAGATTTGAGTAGACCCCAACCATACACCGTTCCAGCGCATTCTGTTTCGCAATCCCGATGGGGAAATCCGTGACTACGAATTGAAAACGGTCACCTTCGGAGTCAACTGTGCCCCTTTCTTAGCGATCCGAGTCCTGCAACAGCTCGCCGACGACGAAGAGTCGAGGTATCCGCGGGCCACTCGGATCATTCGACAGTTTATGTACGTCGACGATGTCCTCGCGGGGGCCGACATAACTGAGGCGCAGGTGGCCATCGGCGGGATTCCCACTCAGAAAGTGGACCCCCAATAATAAGGCGATTTTGGCCAACATCCCGAATGACCATCTCCTTCACTCAGATTTTCTGGAACTCAACTCTGAGAGCACGGCTAAAACTCTCGGCGTGCGGTGGAAAGCGACGTCCGACGAGTTTTTCTTCATTCCGCCAAAATTGGTCTCAGAATCGTCGTTCACCAAGCGGCATCATGGATTCTGCGACGCATCCCAGAAGGCGTACGGTGCCGCCATTTACGTCCGGGTGGAGGTGGGGTCTACGGTAGAGGTGACCTTGCTGACGGCAAGGACGCGTGTGGCCCCAGTAAAAACGTTGTCGCTTCCGCGGCTCGAATTGTGCGGAGCCTTGCTCTTGTCCGAGATGGCGGCCGCCATCCTTCCGAAGATGCCCGGGCCTGCGTCCGCCTTGCACTGTTGGACGGACTCTACAATTGTTCTCGCCTGGTTGCATAAGCCGGCGTGTCATTGGACGACGTTCGTGGCAAATCGGGTGACCAAGATCACCCAGTTTACCAAAGTGGAGAAGTGGGCACATGTTCGCTCCGAGCACAACTTGGCAGATCTCGCCAGCCGGGGAGTAGCGCTCCAAGACCTCGCGGACAGCCAACTGTGGTGGCATGGGCCGGCCTGGTTGCGAAGGCCCCGAAGCGAGTGGCCCTTGCAAGGCGATGTCTCCCCTATAACTGACCTCGAGAAGCGAGCAGTCAAGGTCCATGTGGCGAAGGTTCCTCCTGAAGACATTCTTGAACGTTTTTCCACACTCGATAAGGCGTTGCGAGTTCTCGCCTACGTCCATCGCTTCATCCAGCGCTCGCGGAAGCTCCTGTCGTCGGTAGAGGATCGTTTAACAGCTTTTGAAATCGTGTCAGCTGAGTTACTTCTTATTTCCGTGACACAACGCAGGCACTTCAGCCTGGAGAGGGGTTGCTTAAGCCAAAAACGACCAATTCCAACTTCCAGTCGGGTTCAAAATTTGAACCCGTTCCTTGATTCGAATGGGCTCATGAGAGCAATGCGGCCGGGTTACAACTTCCGAGCTGCTCCAATACGATGAACGACATCCCATCATCCTCCCATACGACTGCCACCTGTCTCGACTCATCGTGCAAGGTATGCGTCATCCAAAAAGGAAGTTGCAAACGCAGCTTTGCCTAAATTGTTTCGCACGAGGGCACCAGCAGCGGGACTGTACGAGTGCCCATAGCTGTTTCACTTGTCACAGCCGTCACCACACCCTCCTGCATCGTGGCAATCCATTCGCGACCGCTCCGACTCCGTCTGCGCCAGCGAGGCCGCGCCCCGCGGATTCCCCAAGAAACGCGAGCACCTCAGAAGATCACTCTGACGTACAAGTGTGCTTCGCTTCCGGCTCAAAAGCCGTCCTGTTGGGCACCGCTCTCGTCGATATTTGCCATATGGGGTGCACTTTCCAAGCGCGTGCCTTGATTGACTCTGGTTCCGAGGCGACATTTATTACTGAGAGGCTATTCAATCTCGTGAAACTGCCTTTCAAGACCATTCAAGCCCAAGTCTCCGGCCTTAACCAAACCATTGCCAGTCTACCAAATTCTGTCATTTCTCCATTCGAGCGCCTTCCAGACCCGGACTGCAATTGGAAACGGCAGCGTACGTCCTTCCGCAGTTGGCCGGGAGTCTGCCTTCGTACCCCGTCCCACAAGACTTTCTGCAGGGGCTCCCTGATATACCTCTTGCGGACCCCAAGTTCTTTGAGAGCTCCCAAATCGATGTCTTGATAGGAGCCGACATTCTTCCGTCAATACTCCTAGGCAACTCCAAGGCCAATATTTGTGGTTCTCTTTTCGGCCAGGAAACCATTTTTGGATGGGTGCTGACAGGTCCCATATTTCCGAGTGCCTCCCGAAATGTGTCCGCCTTCTCTACACGAGTCACCTGCGGCTCCGACGACCCGCTGGACCAGCTCCTCACCAAATTTTGGGAAGTAGAGGAAGTGCCCTCACAGATCGTCTCCGAGTCTGATTCTGTCTGTGAACGCAATTTTGTCCGAACTACACGCAGGGACAGTTGTGGCAAGTACGTTGTGACGCTCTCCTTGCGCGACCCTGAGCATGGTGGTTCGACTCTCACAATCCTTCGCTCTGGCAGGTTCTGCGTAACGAACAGCGCCAAAAGGGATCCCCTCAAGGCCCGAACGACTCGGTAATCCAAGAATACCTCGACTTGGGCCACACGAGTTCTCCGAAGAGCCGTCCGCTTACTCCTTCCGCATCATGCAGTTCTCAAGCCCGAAAGCACACTAAGGTGCGGGTGGTTTTCACCCTCTAGCCCGTCCGCAAACGGGACAAGCCTTAACGACATTCTCTACGCGGGCCCGGTCTTAAGCAGGCCCACCCCACAATACAAATCCTAAAATGGCGATACTTTAGGTTCGTTTTCAATGCCGACATCGAGAAGATGTATCGACAGATTTGAGTAGACCCCAACCATACACCGTTCCAGCGCATTCTGTTTCGCAATCCCGATGGGGAAATCCGTGACTACGAATTGAAAACGGTCACCTTCGGAGTCAACTGTGCCCCTTTCTTAGCGATCCGAGTCCTGCAACAGCTCGCCGACGACGAAGAGTCGAGGTATCCGCGGGCCACTCGGATCATTCGACAGTTTATGTACGTCGACGATGTCCTCGCGGGGGCCGACATAACTGAGGCGCAGGTGGCCATCGGCGGGATTCCCACTCAGAAAGTGGACCCCCAATAATAAGGCGATTTTGGCCAACATCCCGAATGACCATCTCCTTCACTCCGATTTTCTGGAACTCAACTCTGAGAGCACGGCTAAAACTCTCGGCGTGCGGTGGAAAGCGACGTCCGACGAGTTTTTCTTCATTCCGCCAAAATTGGTCTCAGAATCGTCGTTCACCAAGCGGCATCATGGATTCTGCGACGCATCCCAGAAGGCGTACGGTGCCGCCATTTACGTCCGGGTGGAGGTGGGGTCTACGGTAGAGGTGACCTTGCTGACGGCAAGGACGCGTGTGGCCCCAGTAAAAACGTTGTCGCTTCCGCGGCTCGAATTGTGCGGAGCCTTGCTCTTGTCCGAGATGGCGGCCGCCATCCTTCCGAAGATGCCCGGGCCTGCGTCCGCCTTGCACTGTTGGACGGACTCTACAATTGTTCTCGCCTGGTTGCATAAGCCGGCGTCTCATTGGACGACGTTCGTGGCAAATCGGGTGACCAAGATCACCCAGTTTACCAAAGTGGAGAAGTGGGCACATGTTCGCTCCGAGCACAACTTGGCAGATCTCGCCAGCCGGGGAGTAGCGCTCCAAGACCTCGCGGACAGCCAATTGTGGTGGCATGGGCCGGCCTGGTTGCGAAGGCCCCGAAGCGAGTGGCCCTTGCAAGGCGATGTCTCCCCTATAACTGACCTCGAGAAGCGAGCAGTCAAGGTCCATGTGGCGAAGGTTCCTCCTGAAGACATTCTTGAACGTTTTTCCACACTCGATAAGGCGTTGCGAGTTCTCGCCTACGTCCATCGCTTCATCCAGCGCTCGCGGAAGCTCCTGTCGTCGGTAGAGGATCGTTTAACAGCTTTTGAAATCGTGTCAGCTGAGTTACTTCTTATTTCCGTGACACAACGCAGGCACTTCAGCCTGGAGAGGGGTTGCTTAAGCCAAAAACGACCAATTCCAACTTCCAGTCGGGTTCAAAATTTGAACCCGTTCCTTGATTCGAATGGGCTCATGAGAGCAATGCGGCCGGGTTACAACTTCCGAGCTGCTCCAATACGATGAACGACATCCCATCATCCTCCCATACGACTGCCACCTGTCTCGACTCATCGTGCAAGGTATGCGTCATCCAAAAAAGGAAGTTGCAAACGCAACTCATGGGAGACTTGCCAAAGGAACGGACCACCTTCTCGCGTCCTTTCACATATACCGGCATGGACTACGCCGGTCCCTTCGACATCAAAAATTATACGGGACGAGCCTGTCTTATCACTAAGGGGTATGTGTTGGTGTTCGTTTGCTTCTCGACTAAGGCCATCCACTTAGAGCCTACGTCCGACCTTACTACCGAAAAGTTTCTCGCAGCGTTCGCCCGCTTCGTGGCTCGAAGAGGATGCCCCCGTCAAGTGCAGTCGGATAACGGGAAGACTTTCGTGGGGGCGGCTGCCCAACTCTCCCGAGACTTTCTCCACGCTCTCAAAGAGGCTGTGACGGGGGCCTACAGTCACCAGCAGCTGCTCTGGCAGTTCATTCCTCCGGGAGCACCCCACATGGGAGGCTTGTGGGAGGCAGGCGTAAAGAGCTTCAAAACCTTGTTTTACAAGTCCACGGCCACGCGAAAATACACGTTTGAAGAGCTTGCCACACTTCTGGCTAGAATCGAAGCTTGCCTGAATTCGCGTCCGCTCGCGCCAATGTCCGAAGACCCCGCGGACCTGTTGGCACTGACTCCGGGGCACTTTCTTGTTGGGGGGCCCCTCCTCGCCGTGGTTGAACCCGAAATAAAGGGGGACACCACGTCCATCATAAACCGCTGGCAACACCTGAAGGCTCTTAACCAACAATTTCGTCTACGATGGAAGGAGGAGTACCTGAAGGAACTCCATAAGCGGAATAAGTGGCGAGCCCCGGCAAGGGATCTTCAGGTCGGGGACATGGTGGTTGTCAAGGAGGACAACCTTCCTTCCAATGAATGGCGTTTAGGCAGGATTGATGCGGTCTTTCCCGGAGCCGATGGCCATGTCCGTGTGGTCGACATCCGCACGGCGCGGGGAGTCATGAAGCGTCCCATAGCGAAGCTCGTCCTTCTTCCGACGGAAGCCTCCGCCGGTCCCCAATAGCCACCGGCCTCTATGTTCTATGTCAATGTGCCGTTCCGTAGCTCCTGTTCGTGTCTCGACTTGCGAGTGCTTATGACTTATTTCGTTTCTTTTTATCTCCGTCCTATTCCGCCAGTAATAGCAGCACGATGTCTCCAAGTCCACGCAGCGCCATCGCACTGGAGCGCAGATGTTCGCGAGGTTCGAATTCCTACCGATGCCGAGTCTGCAACAAGATTCATCCGCTGAAGAAGTGTCGCCGTTTTCTTCGACTGAACGCCGAGAAGAGACTCCGGGCTGTCCTCGCCAACCGGTACTGCCCCAACTGCTTGGCCCACGAGCACTCTGACGGAGGGTGTCAGCGGGGAGATCGCTGTAAGAAGTGCGGCCAGGACCATCACACATTGCTGCATGTAGCGCTTGTAGCATGGGAGTTGGTTTCTAGCGCCACCTAGGGGTGGGTGAGCGACGTAAGAAGGAGGAAAGGTAGATCAGGAAGGGAGAGCAACAGAGTGAAATGTCGACCTGCTCTGGGGGCACATCTCTCCTTTTGGACTCGGGAAGGGGATAGCCGCCAGAAAATTGGCGTCGGTTTGATCTTTCCCAATCCATCCTTCAAGCGGTCGAGAAGTGCCGACCAGTGGACAGACCCTAAGGAAAAAAAACACTTACCAGCTATACCAGCCTTTCCGCTAAATAGAGCGAGGTGAGTTGGCGAGAAAAAATAGGAGAATAAGTAGTTTTATCTGACAGGGGCCTGCCCAATTTATTCTACAGGTTGCGGCAGCAGAAAGCTAGTATTTCGTGAAGCGAAATCCCCAGCAGCGCAGAAGCCAGCGCCAAGATCAGCCACCAGGAGAGAAAGGGGAAAAAAACGGCGCTCCGGAGTGGTTTACGAAAGTGCTCAATTGCGGGCGCTGTGGCCACGAAGGGAGGGCCAAGAAAGCGCTCAGGCCAGTCGTCGCGGAAGCGCTCGCGGAGCGCCTTAATTCGGCGGAGTCCAAATCCAAATCAAGCAGAGACGAAAGTTTTTTTGTGCTTAGGAAAACCGACCCAATTTTTTTGCCAAGTGTTGTGGGAAAAAAAAAGGAAAACTCGAGCTCGTAACTGGGAAAATCCCGACCCAAAGAAAAAGGAAAATTGCGATGAAAAAAATATGACATAACCTGCCAGTGCCAAATAAAAAAATTCTGAGTGGAAGGAAAGGCAAAGAAAAGTGGGAAAAACTAAAAGAAGAAAAAAAAAAAGAGAAAGAGAATCTCGAAAAAAAATGAAGCTGATGTAGATTTAGTCAGTTAAATTTATTTATTAATTTTTTTAAGTGAAATGAGTGAAAAAGAATTTGTTCAATTTAATTTGCCAATGGGCAAAGGCATTTAGAGGCGTGAAGTGAGAGAGTTTAGTTTTTTGGTGTTGTAGTTTTTCGTCTCTGCTCCGGTCGTGTAATTTTTATTTAATGTTTCTTTAAAAAAATGTGATCTTTGACCCCCTCCAAACAACATTCTTAGCGTTGCAGCCTCCTGAAAGCGCTTTCATCGAGGGATCTGTCGACGGAAAAATTGTGGTGAGCTACCAAAACCAAGTAAAAGTAAAGAAAAGAATGGAGTCAATTTTTTTATCAATTTTAAATTCAAAAGCAATAAAAGAAACATAAATTAAAGCAAAAGAATAAAAAATAACTATAACGGAGACAGAGACTCTAAAAAAAAAAATGAGCATAAAGAATACATAAAAAAAAAAAAATAACGTAAATTGTCTCTTCGTGTCTGATGTCTCTTTGTCATTTGTTTTCGCTTTTAGAGTTTTCACTCATTAGTTTTGGCTCAAAGTTTTAAGAAAAAGAAATCATTAATTTAATGTTGAGGAATTCTGGCGAAATGTTCATGCATACACTTAAAATATATATTGCCACATTCAGTTATTCGTATATTATAAATTTATTTTAATTTTACATTATCCCTATTTATTTATTAACTTTAAGTTCACATTATCCCTATTTAGTTATATTTATTTAATGTTCCTTGTCCATTTTTCTAATGTGTTCGCAGCTAGGAGGGGAAAATGTTTATATTAGTGAATAAAATGCAGTTTATAATGTTGTAAATTATTTTTTAAATTTGACGGAGCAGCTATGACCTCGGGGAGCCCGTAGAACTCAAAAGGGGCCGTTCAAAAAAAAAAAAATGTTTTATTTGGCAGTCGAACGGCCGAAGGAAGGGAGGGCGAAAGGGATCCCATCAACACCGGAGATCCCAAAGGAGTTCTAGGGCAGGGAATAAGGGCAGATCTGGGTATATATTTCGTCATTAATCCGTCTATATGTTGTTGCTAAAATGTCCGAGTTTTCTACCACTTAATATCGGCAAGAAATTTAAACACGCAATCCCTTTTTCTTTAAAACAAATAATAAGCATAGGCAATATTGAGGGAAGCAGCAAGACCACCACCCCCCTTGCCGACGAGCCGCAGCCGGAGAACAATTTTGCGTGTGCGCTTCTCTCAGTCCCACCAGCTAGCCTGAATATATGGTTTAAATGTTCGTTACATTTATAATTATATATTGTATAATTATTATTATTAAAGATGGCGCCCAACGTGAAGGCCACGTAATTTTTACGTTGCTTCAGAAACAAATAGACATTTTTGCCAATTTTGATGGTTCGGGATGAACTTGAGCAAAGGCAAGTAAATTTTTACTTTCGTTGCAAACATTGAGTCGTTCCGATTTGTCACTCATCGCAGCTTCAAACCTCGGGTGGAAGTTTACTCAAACGCATTGGATCACGGAGAGACAAAATCTTGAGAGATTTGTCGTCCGACCACGGTTGAGTGAAATTGCAAGCGAGGAAGAATAGCTCAACCAGATACTCTACAATTCAACTAGAGTCAATAGGTCTGTCCATTAAACGCATAGGAATTGCAGTCAGTGAGGTTTCATAATTGCATTGATTGACCACGGGTAATGGACAAACACAACCCACCAAATTTCCATCTAATAAAAAAACAGATCATTTCGCCATTAGTCGCTTCGGAAAGCAGTGGATTTTTTTTCTAAAGAGTTCGCTGACCACGATGAAAGGCGAAACCGATAGGCTCAACTTTGCAGAGTGCGAATGCGCAGGTGGCGCTTAACATATGATAAGCGCCAGGCGTCTAGCACAGGCAGTGTTGTTGTTTGTTTTCCTTCGTTCCTGTTTCTGCACTTGTCTCATATTCCCAGGGGGGATTAGTCACGCTCGACGTCAAATTTGATTTATTACAATTGTTTTTGTTATTTCCGAATTCTTGTGGTTTTGTCTGTTCCGAGTAAAATTTTTTTTTGCATGCTTATGGTTCTGATTTCGTGATCGGCTGATCGTTTGATCTTTTCTTTGTCGTTTGCCGCTTTGAAACCCGGATTAAAGTTTGAGCGTTTGAGAGCGAGCTCATACCATTCCTGAGCGTAAGCGGTAAAGCTGATCAGGCGTTTAGACAGAGAGTTCAATGACCTCGTACAAGCAAAAGAGATAAAAAACTCTTACGTCAGTGATTTAGTTGGCATTTTAAAATCAATTAATTCGGCAGGCAGTTCGAAGTAAAAACAAACAAAATTTATACAAGAAAAACAATAATAAATAAAAAATTAAATAGAGAACAATTATTAGTTGGCCAGCGAAATACTCAAGTCTTGGGTACCGCGCAAACTGAGCTGATAGAAAATACAGTCATCAGCGCAGTACAGGCCATGCAAAACGATTTGCTTATTCAATTGGGTGAGAAAATGGCCCAGTTGTTCCAAACCAACTTGGCTGGCCATTATCAGCCAGGAGGTGGGACAAACCCTGGAGCTGAAACGGACAGTGATAACCGTCCTCTATTTGACCACCGTAGAGAGCTAGCAGGTTCCAGACGCGATACGCCCAGAAGCTTCGCTTCAGAATTGAGTCAAAGGCCCGACAAAGTAGGCCACATTTTGAGTAGCTGGAAGCTACGCTTCAGCGGCCACCCTGACGGGATCAGTGTGGATAATTTCATCTATCGGGTCGAGGCTCTCACATACCAGACTCTGGAGGGGAATTTCGCCCTTCTCAGCAGCCAAGCAAGCCTTTTGTTTGAGGGAAAGGCTAGGGAGTTTTATTGGCGGTGCCACAAAAGCTGACCGAACTAAGGTGGGATTATCTTTGCACGGCATTGAGAAGACAGTTTAGGGATGGTCGGACGGATATAGACATCAGGGAGGCAATTCGCGATCGGAAACAAAAAGAAAAGGAAGGATTCGACGAATTTTATGAGGCCTTGTCCGAAATGATGGAAATAAATTTAAATAGTTATTTAGTAGAAAACTCAGCTATTTCAAGGAATGCAAAAAGGATGAAAGAATTTTGGAAGACGGTTCGAACAGTGAATTCCATTCGATTCAAAGCTAATGATCAGCGTCCCTATGCCGAGGTCCGGTTGCTGGATAGAGTAGTGGTCGGATTGTTGGATACCGGGGCGGCGATCAATGTTATTGGGGGCCACTTAGCAAAACAGGTGATATGCAGTGGAATAAAATTCAAGAGAGCGGCCACGGTAGCACACACGGCAGATGGGAAAACGCAGGATATTGTGGGAAGATTTAAGACTCAGGTCACTTTCAAAGATACAACTAAGGAAGTAGAGTTTCACATAGTCCCTTCTCTGAATCAAGATCTGTATCTGGGAATCCAATTTTGGTCAGATTTTTAAGTTGCTCCCGGAAAATATGCAGATCGCTGAGATTACATCGGATTCCCATTGTCTCTCTGAAAGCCAACAAGGCAGTCTTAGTGCTGTGGTGGGCAAATTTCCTTCGTTCGCTATCTCAGGTCTGGGGAAGACAAATTTGCTCTCGCACGAAATCGATGTGGGGAAGCCAAACCCATAAAGCAGCGTCACTTCCCTGTGTCTCCCGCTGTCGAGAAGCTGCTATATGCGGAAATTGACAGGATGTTGGAAATGGGAGTAATGGAGGAGTCCCAGAGCGCTTGGTCGTCGCCAGTTGTTCTCGTCCAAAAGCCAGG